GGTATGCCCTTTGTCTTGTTTGAATGATTGTATATTCCTAAATGTTAACAGAGGGCATAGAAGCAAATACTATTGAATGATGAAGCATGCAGGGGATTATAATCATTGCAATGAAACGAATACGATAGGATGAGTGTAAAATTGATGTTCCCCCATGTAAACTATCCCTCAATTCACAATAAAAGCGTTAAAAAAAATTTTTTTTAAAGCTTATAAAAGAGATGGTTGTACTTAAATATTGAAAATAATAATAATAAAGGCTAGGAGACAGAGCATCCAGGAACCCTTATCACCCCTGACTTATTCCCACCACCACTCTCCTTACCATAGGAGCTCTTCCCCCCACCCCGCCTGCACACCTTCCTTCCCCAGATTTCTGTGTCAGCCCTATTCCTATTTCCTTCAGAGCTCTGAGAAGCAAGTAGAGTCTGGGCAGCTGAGATTCCCAGGTGTGCAGGGCCAGGCCTCTAGCTCCAAACTCATTTTCCTAGTTGAAGCTCTGATGATCAAGGGAAGACCCAGCTAGGAGTGAAGGAGCCATAGTCTAAGCGTACTGATCAGAGGAATGAGACACATGGAGTCCACAGCGGAGTGATTAAGGGATCAGGGTCCGGACAGACCTAAGTTCAAATTTGTCTTTTCTCACCGTGTGTGAGTGAGACACACACAGCTGTGGGACTTTGGGCATGCCAATTTACCCCTTGAAACAACTTTCTTATCTGTAAATATAGGGTGGTGACTATCCCTTTCTCACAGAGTGTGAATTTAAAGAGAAAATGCACAGGGAAATTACAAAGCATGTAAGATAATTAGTTTAAAAATGTATAGATAGATGACCTGAGACAAGGCTCGGAGTCCCTGTTCATTAACATAAATCAGACACAGTAATAAATAACACCCTTCATGCTCACAAGGCTGCTTTAGGAATCAGATGATTTAGTTGACATGAGAATGCTTTTAAAAATACATTGAGTTCTGGAAACACAAGAGGCTGTATATCTTATTGTGTGTCTGGTAGGTCTAGAAATGTCGGGGAGGGGATGACCCACCTGGAAGGATCAGCTGAAGGTACCCGATGTAATATGACCATGCCAGCCCGTGGGCCACGCTAAAGTTCCCTTTTTCACAGACTGCAGAGACCTCAGCTGGGGTCAGGCCCTATGGACAGTAGGATGGGGTAGGGACCTCCATGAAATATATCCAGAGCTCTTCTCTTCCAAGAGGACTTCCCAAGTTATTGCAGACTTGCTCCCTTCTCCCACAGTAGATCCTGCTGTTCCAGGACATTATTGGCTCCATTCCAAGGATTCCAACCCTTAAATGAGTCCCAGAGCTTGCCCTCTCCACTCCTAGTCAAACTTAACGTGGATCATACTAAGCCTCCACTTTGACAGACCCTCCCCTTTCCACTATATCCTACCTGGAGGTTCAGGAGGATGTTCACAGACTGCAATAGGCCCAGGAGGGCAAGCATCCAAGTGAGGGGCAGGTCGTCCATGTTTGGGAGGGAGAAGTAGAAATAACAGGACAGTAGCAGTAAGGCTCCACGTCGGATGGGACAGCCCACACAGGCCCGCATAGCCCTCCAGTAGCTGCCCTGGTACCTGCAGGGGACAGCCAAGCCCCAGACCCCAGGCCAATTCAGTTTCCATACACTAAATTCACTCACACTCACCAGTACCCACAACCCTAAACACCACGCTCCCCTCAGAAAGGCTTAAGGAGGGATACATGCTGGGTGCCCAATCACCACCGCTAGGAGTAACTGTAACCGCAGAGAGTCACCTGGAATGGATGTGACGCAGCTCCTCAGCCAGAGTGCAGACCTCCTTTAGCAACAGTCCCATTTGCAGGGAGGCTAGGTGGAATATCAGCCACTGGAGAGTGTGGTCTGATGAGTCCCCTAGCCACCAAAGGGCCATTAAGCAAGCGCTCAACAGGACTAAGGCTGCCTTCTGAATGCCATGACCTCTGTGCCGAGGGATGGACGAATGTAGGCTGGAGTGGGGCATCTGCAGTCATCAAGAAACACGGTCACTTGCCTACCTTCCCAGGACCGAGGCACTGGCTGGCCTCCTTCCCCCTGCAGCAGTCTCCCTTCCACTCCCCCACAACCCCCCACCTCCTACCCCCCCTACTCCCCACCCCACCCCACCCCACCCTGGCTCCCTGCCCCCGCTGTCCACCCACATCAGAGGCTGGTCTTGGAGACAGCTCTTGTGGTCAGACTGGGCCTGCACCATCCCAGGGCTCCTGTCCAGGAGCAGTTTAGAGAAAGCAGAGCAGGTGGGGAGAAGTACACACCCATGCAGACATGCTCCCCTGGACCCCTAGTGAGGGCACACGTGTGAGGAAAGAAGGCAGGGATGCCCCAGACCCAGACCTGAAGACCCTGCCCACCCAGGGACCCTTGGGGCTTGGGTTCCCCTCCATCAGAATCCCCTTCAGAGTGACCTTTGTGAACAAAGTAGAAAACCAGAGTTCACAGAGTCAGGGCAGGGCAGCCAGAAGGTGCTCACTCAATTCTGTGCTCCTGCCCCATCCCACACTCCCACACCAGGCTTCAAGCTCCAGTTGAGCTGCTCATCTTCTTACCTGACCACAAGTTGATCCTTGAAAAGTGACAGAGAGGAGAAACTGGGCTCAACAGCTCCCAGAGACCCAGGACGGCTTCTCTAGCAGGAGCAGCCTGAAAATGGAACATTAAAATTAATTGCCGTTTTCCTCACAACAATGCATCCCTGGCATCTCACCAGACTGAAGTCTTTGGTGTGATGGGGAAGGGGTACTTCCTGCTGTCAGAGAGGGAGTAGGGGCCCTCCCAGAGGCCCTCAACTCCCCCGCCCCAAGGCTCTGTGGGTTGTGTCTGAGTCTAGGGGTGGGGCATAAGACTTGCGAAGAACCCCTTGCCGTTCTCCCGTTCTCTTTTGCTACCCACAGAGGGTAGGTCTTGTGCCCTGGGGGTGGGGTGGAGGTGGTGTCACTTGAGGGGAGCGCCAACGAGCAGTTTCTGTTCACCATCTCCAGCTGTGTGAGAGCGATCAAGTTAAATTTAATTGCCATCCTCCACCCTCAAACTGCAAGTCTTCAGAAATTCACTCACCAGTACACTAAACACCACGTCCCCTCAATCCCCCAAACTCCACCTATTAACCACTCTCACGCGCTCAACCAAAGGGAATACATACACATGATATGATGCTGCCCTTTCTGATAATTTTTATTCTGGTTTCCAGATGCATATTTTCTTTTTCTAAAGATGGTGACATCAGGAAAAAGGCGGGGAAAATGAACAAAGTAATTTCCTGTAACCCGAGCCTTTCCAGCTTGGTGGGAGCTGGAGGATTGCAGAGCAGGGAGATTTGGCTTTTACAGGAAGTGGCAACGCCTGTGACTTCTCAGCGAGAACTCTGCGGTTCCAGCCAAAACGGCAGTCGTGTGGTACCATACAACAGACATTTATGCCAAATGTTTACAAAATGTATTATTTCATTTAATACTCTGGTAGGTATAATGTTATTCCCATTATGCGATGGGTAATCAATCTGAGGTTCATGATCCCACAGCTAGTAAGTGAAGGAGTGGAGACTTGAAGCCAGGTGGGGTTCTCTAAAGCCCAGCGTGCTCTGTGCCTTGATTTCATGGGAGGGGATGGAAGGTGCCAGGACCAAGTTTCATGCTTGTCGTTTCCCTGGGTGTAGGTGTGAGGGGTCTTTGATTGCTCTCTGGCACGCCTGCGGAGGGGGACTGAAGTGGCACCCATAGACAGCAGTAGTTCATACCTGCCTAGGTCAGAGGGTTCTTGTCTAGACCCTTCCCCTATATTATAAACCAGACTCAGAAAGACACAGAACTTTCATAGATGCCACTGGCTTCCCAGGAGTGATGAAACTTCCTGGAAAATCTCTTTTTGAAAATAATTTCCGGAGAATGGAGGGAATTGTCTGCATTTTTGCTACAGTTGTCCCTGAGAGCTCAGTTACTGTAAAGTAAATCGAAGTAGTGCACAAGAAAGGCTGAGCAGAATCCCTTGGAGTAAGCAGCTCACCTGCCCCAAGAGTCCAGCTACATACAGCAAGCAGCCACTGACTACCATGATCCTGCCTGGTTGCCTAGGATCAGTTCCCCTGGGTCCCAGTACTGTTGTCAGCCCCACTGCCCTCACTGGTCATCATTTCCTTCACAGCTATTCTTTACTCCCCACCCTCCCTCTCCAAATCTTTCTTTGAAGGAAGTATCATCTTGTAGACCACGTGAGCACTATGAATCAAAAGCCTTTATAACCACACTTGATTGTTGACTTAGCAATCTACTTCTAGGAATGCTTCAGAAGGAAATAATCAGACATGGTCCCAAATTTGCCCATTTTCAGATGTTTGTGGCAGGGATGTTTACACTAAAGAAAAACTAAAAGTGATCTAAATAATGCTGTTGTGGTTAAGTGCCGTGGAGTAGGTTCCGACTCACAGTGACCCTGTACAGGGTTTCCGAGGCTGTAAATCTTTACGGGAGCAGAACGCCTCATCTTTCTCCCGCGGAACAGCTGGTAGTTTCAAACTGCTGACCTTGGGGTTCACAGCCCAATTTGTAACCACTACGCTACCAGAGAATAAGTTAACTAAATCATAGTTAATCTACAATGGATTGTTGAATAGCCACTAAAAATGATGATATAACTTATATTTATTGATTCTTTAAAACATTTAATATATGTTTCTTACTGAATAAAGCAGAGTAGAAAGAGATCGCATTTTAAAAAGCATACATTATAGGCATGAAAGGGGAATGAAGGATAAATAACAAAATGCTAATAATGATTACTCTCTGCAGTGGAATATGAGAAATTCTTATTACATTTTTCTTTTTGATCATTAAGTTTTCTAGTGTTTTTCCTTTAATGAGCATGTATTATTGTTTTGAGTAAGCAGTTCATGATCAGGCCTAATCTGACTGGAGAGAAAGGTCCTGTAAGATGGGGAGGTAGAGAAGGTTACTAAGAGAGCAAAGGTTCCTCTGACTGAGTTTCCAAATGTCAGGCAAAGGAGTTTCCACACTTTTCTTCTGTGCATTCTATATACTTGTGTTCAGGGCCTGGGATAGTGAACTTGACAGATCAGGCTCTGCTGTTACGCACCTTTGGTTGGGCAGGAAACAAGAACAGTACATAACTGAACAAGTAAGTTATTAATTGTTAAGTTGGGTAAAGATTAGGAAGAATGCATTCTGGTTGCTACTCTGAAGGGAACCTGAAGGAGTGTCATTTAAGTTGAGTTTGGAAAAAGTATGAAAGAGTATAGAACATTCTGAAAGGCGTAGCACACACATACAAAGGTTCTGGGCTGGGAAGATGCTTGTCCTGTGGAGGAACAAAGTGCTACCTGATATGCCTGGAGCATGTAAGCATGTTGGGGGTCTGTGGTATAAGAAGAGGCTAGAGAGTGGATAGGAGCTTTGTAGGTTATGGCCATCACCTACCTCAGAGCCTTGGAACCTTCATGACGGTTGCATGTATGGACTGTCCTTAACATTCAGACAGATCAACTATACTGACAGATAGAGGTCTCAACTCTTCTAATCATCAGAGGAGGAACCTGAGGGCCACAGAGCGAAGTTAGGGCTAGGATCCAGACTGCCCAGGATCCAGGCTGCTGCCCTCAGGCACTGAGTGCTAATACTGCTCTTGTTCTTGGGGCTTCCTCCTTACTTCCTGGCAGTTGTTTCTTCTAGCCACCCTGAAAGTTCTGATTTGAACTGGCTTACCCTTCTACTTCTGGAGCCCTGGTGTGGTGCTTTGGGCTAATGCGTCTGACAGCAAAGTCAGTTTGAATTGCAAGGTCAGTGGTTCAAGCTCACCAACTGCTCTTTGGAAACCCTATACAGGGTCGCTATGGGTCGGAATCGACTCGACGGCACTTAACAACAATCCTTCTATTTCTAGCCCAACTACAGCCACCAAGACTCTTCCCTAAAATTAGTTATTGGTGTTCCTGGGAGAAAAGTAAGTCACTAAACACTCGTTCAGGGATTCCTAGTTTGGGGTGCATGGGCTGCGGGAATGCCTATGACCTCTAAGGCACTACCCCTTGCCCAAACAGTATCAGTGTCCCTAAATTCTGCTAAAAGAGGGACATTGGGGAGATTTTTATATCAGTTGACTATGGTAGTTGGTTATGATATCAGTTGACACTATATGATAAGAACTGTACTGCTAACCCCAAGGTAGGTGATTCAAACCCACCAACTGCTCCTTAGAAAGCCTATACAGGATCACTATGAGTCAGAATCGATTCAACAACAGTTAACAACAATAGCAACATGGTAGACCTGGGATCCAGTCTGGCTTATATCTCTCTCAGCTGTATAATTTATTTTCCATTTCTTCACACTTAATAATGGGTACAATAATTAATGCCTTTTATCTGCATGAGGATGGAAGGAAATAATGCCGGTGTGGTTATGTACCGTGAAGTAGGTTCTGACTCATAGTGACCCCGTACAGGGATTCTGAGGCTGTAAATCTTTATGAGAGCAGAAATCCTCATCTTTCTCTGACAGACCAGCTGGTAGTTTCGAACTGCTGACCTTAAGGTTAGCAGTCCGACTGATTTTTTTGTAAATGTTCGGTAATTGCTAACTCATCATCACTACCACCACCACCACCATCATCTTCCTCATCGACAGTCATAGTCTTGGAGTTAGTTACCAGGTCCTGCTTGCCATCGTGGTCTTTACCTTTGACTCAAGTCACCTCTCATGAACACACAAAAATTTGAAATCTCCTCAAAAGGTGGCTCTGTATCTGACCCCAGTTACCTCCTTGTTATGATTCCATTGTCTCATCATGAAACTGACCAGTGTGTGTCATGGTCTTTTCTGGACAGGATATAGTCTAGTGGACGTGATGGAAAATACAGGTCTGAGGATGCCATGATTGGAGTGAACATGAGTTTCTACTGTACATTCAGAGGAGCCCTGATGGTTAGTCATTGAGCTGTTAACTGCAAAGTCAGCA